AGTAAAATCGCGCGCTTTGGCACTGTTGCTATAGGAACGGTGTCCCATGATCCTCCAGCGACTTTTTTACCTTGTGCTTCGGCCATAAACAGGTAAGTTCTTGTTTTTTCCTTTCAAATCATTTTTTCTAATCCAACTTTCTCTTAAACAGCGACGAAAACTTAGTATTTTCATCCCTCTATATCTAAGCTTGGAATATGGCGAGTCAACATCATCGCAAACGATCTCATTCGCGCGAAAACTCGCATCATATATCGAAGAACGGATCGTCAAAACGACGCGGAACCAGTGACAACGGGAAATGATATCGACAGTTTAGATGCAAACTTGCCTGAACCTACGGCTCTCGGGCCACCAATCACGGCTATTAAGCCATCAGATTTGACTATTAAGTCACCAGAAACGACTGTCGACTCATCAGATTTGGATTCTTCTGTGAAGTTACACGGGAGAGGGACAGATATTCCCTCTATTACGACAGAGCTTAATAACTCATTGTATGATCCTGATAATATGACCCTTTCTTGGTCACCTTCAGAAGTTTTTACATCCTTTTTGGAAAAAAATTTCGCCGAAAACTTTCATTTGATCAAGTGAGTGAAATTTTAGAGAATCAAGCTGTGCCCTCGGTTGAGGCTCTATTAGCCCCGACCCTTGACCCTTCAGTGGTACAACATATTGCACAAAACAATCGAAAATTTGTACAGAAACGAGACAAAGAACTACAGGTTGCCCAACGTTCCTTACTTAATGCCACAGGGCCCCTCTGCACCTTACATGATCGTCTCGAAAACAATGTAAACGTAGATTTAGCTGAGTTAAAAACCTCCATTGAACAGACACTTTGTCTGTTGGGCTCAACGAATACCCAATTATCCATTCTTCGCCGGAAGAAAGTTTTGGCCTCAATCAATAAAAGCAAGATAGATCTTGCCAACCACCTTTTACCCAATGCCCAAAGGTGGTTATTTGGGGATGATTTCCCCTCTATCGCCTCTAAGGAGGCTGAACTTTCCAGAGGCCTAGCAAAGAACCTCGCACCATCAGTAAAACCTAAATTGAATGTCCCTAGAACCCCCAACTACAGGGGACCTAACTTTTCAAATTCCAACCCTAACAAATACCAGAACCTACAATATTCTCGCCAGAAACAAAATTTTTTTCGAGGTCCACGACAATCCCGCAGACCTCCGCCCAACTCCCAAAATATCTCAAACAATGGCAAGAATTAACGTCCGATCCAGAGATCCTAAACATTGTATCAGGCTTAAAAATTCCTTTTCGTTGTGTTCCTTATCAGAGCAAAGTGCCAATTACACAGGTCTCGGCAGATTTAATGCCGATTTTAGATTTAGAAGTTCAGAATCTCCTGCAAAAAGGGGCACTCTGTCAAGTCCCATTAGAACGCGGCGGTTATTACAGTCGCCTCTTTTTAGTCCCCAAAAAAGGGGGAAGCATGCGTCCTGTGATAGACCTCAGCTCACTGAACCAATTTATAGAAAGTCCACACTTTCAAATGGAGAATCCCTCGGCAGTAAAGACGCTTTTAAAAGCAAGACATTTCATGACCAAACTAGACCTCAAAGATGCCTATCTTTCGGTCGCAGTCCACCCAACATCTCAAAGGTTCCTCCGATTTATTTGGAAAAACAAATCCTACCAATTTCAAGCTCTTCCCTTTGGGTTAAACATAGCCCCACGCGTGTTCACACGGTTATTAAAACCAGTAGCAGCTTTTCTGAGAAAAAGGACAATCCGACTAATAATCTATCTCGACGACATCCTCCTGATCAGGTCCTCGATCAAGGAAACACACTTATTCACCGAAATGACCATGTCTCTTCTAGAATCCTTGGGATTCACCATCAACAAAGAGAAATCGGTTCTTCTCCCGACTCAAACTCTAACCTTTCTGGGCTTCACCATATGCTCAGTCAACATGACTCTAACCTTGCCCCCCAACAAGCCCACAAACTTACGTCTACTTTGCCGCCAACTTCTCACCCAAGAGCTAGTCAGCCTTCATAACTTGGCACAAGTTTTAGGCACTCTCGAATCTTTTCGACCAGCCATATGGCGTGCCCCACTTTACATTCGCAAACTACAACGGCAACTGAAGCAGGGTCTAATCGATTCTTTGGACAACTACAGTGCCAAAGTGACCCTGTCCCTTCAGTCAAGGGAGGAATTACAATGGTGGATTTGCAACATAACAGCATGCAATGGCAGCCCTATTGTCACCCCTCCTCCCGATCTTACGATTTTCACAGATGCGTCAAAACAGGGATGGGGGGCAGTTTGCGCCAATTGGAGGACGAACGGGAAATGGTCTGCTGCGGAGAAACTACTACATATCAATATTCTAGAATTGAAAGGTGCCTTCCTGGCCCTTCAAGCCCAGTTGAAAAACAAAACTTCGATAACTGTGTCGCTCAATATGGACAACGGTACAGCTGTGGCGTACATCAACCACAAGGGCGGCACACACTCTCCTCAGCTTCTCCAACTCGCTCTAGAAATGTGGAACTGGTGCATCCAGAAGGATATATTTGTGGTAGCTTTCCACGTCCCCGGGAAGTTGAACAATCTGGCAGATCGGGAATCGCGTCTATTTACAGACAACAGCGATTGGATGCTAGAACCCAGCATCATCAAACCTTTCCTGAAACATTGCCGAACCGATCTCTTTGCCTCAAGACTAACCTGTCAACTCCCGACGTACATCAGCTGGAGACCCGACCCCAATGCGCTCCACTCAGACGCCTTCAGTCTGAATTGGAACCAACTGAAAGGGTATGCTTTCCCACCCTTCAACATGATCCCAAAGGTCCTCAACAAAACAGTGACAGACGAAACAGAAATTGTTCTAGTGGCCCCGATATGGCAAGCCCAACCATGGTGGCCTCTACTACTTCAGCCACTAACCCGGCAGCCAGTCTTGCTTCCGGTATCACCTCACCTCCTAATAGACCCGGCAGAACCAAAGAGAATTCATCCAATGCACCCTCGGCTTCACATGGCCGTATTCAATATCTCACACTGCGCTATCAAGCAGAAGGCCTTCCGGCAGACGTTGCCAAACTTCTCATCGCAGCCACTCGATCCTCCACACATAAGACGTACGAATCGAGCTGGAAACGCTGGCGCGGCTGGTGTTGTCCACGGCAAATTGATCCTGTTTCAGCATCTCTGAAAGACATACTTACCTTCTTATCAGACTGCTATGACAGTGGCCTTCAGTACCGTTCGATTAATGTTTCGACAATTTCTGTTACTCATCCAAAAATTGATGGTTACTCGGTGGGTCAATATCCATACGTGGTCAACTTACTAAAGGGCATCCTAAACCTCCGCCCACCAAAACCGCGGTATTCCATGACATGGGATGTCTCCAAAGTAACCGCCTACTTGTCTAAACTAGGAAATAATACTGAGCTGACTCTAAAACAACTGTCTGGGAAATTGGCTACAATCTTCGCCATTACTTGCCTGAACGGGTGTCTTCACTTTCGCAGCTGGATCTTAACCATTATCGGTTGTCACCGGAAGGCATCACATTCACCTTACCACAAACCAAAACTACACGACCAGATGTTCCTGTTTTCGCTATCGTATCGTCCTTCCCCGAAGATACGAAACTATGCCCAGTTGCCTGCTTCAAACAATACATTGAGTTGACAACTACGCTCAGAAATAATTTGGAGGGCAAACCGAATAAATTATTTATATCTTACATTAAACCACACCGTCCATCTCTCCTTCAACTCTAGCACGATGGATTCGCGAGTTCCTTGCCCAAGCCGGCATAGACACCTCAATATTCAAAGCTCACTCGGTACGGGGAGCTGCCACCTCAGCAGCAGCAAACGCGTCAGTTCCTCTCGAGGAAATTTTAAAAATGGCTGATTGGTCCACCGCTTCTACCTTCCAAAAGTTTTACTATAAACCTGTGATGAACACTCAATTTGGCCGTGCTGTCCTAGGCCATACATGTAAATAATGTTTAATCGGTTCTTGTTACAGTTTGGGTTTGAGCCTGACAATAAAGGATCTTATTCACTTCAGGAGTGTATTGTGTTAAACTCTACCATTTGTAATCTCATATATTTCGACCGGAGTTCATGAAATATAATTCCAATTATACAAGGGCTGAGGAGCCTGATGTATAATTGGGGTTATATGAGTGAACGAAGGGAGAAATATATGAGTCCCTCCCGTTGGTGTTCTTGGGACACACCGTCCCTATAACTCTTTGAATTTCTCCCTTCTTGTTTGGTGTTAAAATAGTCGCTGGAGGATCATGCGACACCGTTCCTATAGCAACAGTGCCAAAGCGCGCGATTTTACTTTTCTTCTCACAGGGGGTACCCTGGTGTTAAAAAAGTGGTCCGAAGCACGGTAAAGACGAAGTCATACCATTTGTAATCTCATATATTTCTCCCTTCGTTCACTCATATAACCCCAATTATACAATCAGGCTCCTCAGCCCTTGTATTTGGAATTATATGTAGCTTCCCTCCCTGCAACATGGCTTTTTTGTGCTCTTTCACCATTATCACAAATCCTGAATAATAGCAAGAAATTTAATTTCAATTGCCTAATAGGTAATCAACACTTAAAACAAGTGTCAGTTTGTAGCTGTGAAAGCCATGCTGTTACACTAATTCATGCTCATTTTTGGCCTGGATCTCCTGAGAGGCCCTCCATTGGGTTTCACCTGAAATTAATGGATTTGGCTGAAAAGTTATTCCTTCATAATCAAGTACCTCTAAAAGATTTCTGTGATCTAATAGGGGAATTACTACCATCAATGTAGCCTGTTCTTGTATGTATTGTTTATCCATGTTCATGCTATTACTAATATGATTTCTCTTTCAAGACTAGAGGTATTTTCTGAACATTGCCAATTATATTGTAATCGCCAATTATATTGTAATTGCAATTTAGGTTAAATCTTGGTATAGAACACTGAATTCTGGATCTTTCGAGGAGACCAATAACGCTGAATCCTCCTTTAGAGTAAGGAACTCTGCAGTTTTTACCAACGGCTTCACCTGAACGAAAGATAGTTCATATTCATGTGCAGTACATTATTTGCGGGTTAACCAGTATATATATGTACAGTAACATACAAAGTGGAAGACCGAAGACTTACTGTATTTTTTGTTAAAAAGGTCTTGGACATCATTTCGGTGATATTTTCGATTGCTGCTTCCTATAAAATTAATTGAAATATACTAAAGTACATTAAAAGTATGTTTTATATTGGAACTTTCTGTTATCCAACACTGCCATTTGACATCATTACATAAGTTGTTACCCTTTCTTCAACCTCTCATGAAAAACATTAGTTCTTCATCTACAGTAATGTGGCATCAAAGTAATCAAACAATATTTTTTTGCATACTGTATTTCTCTTGCCAACCCTTTTCTAAAGCAAATCCAATCCAAATCCTATCTATAGAATATTTTCAGCATCAACAACATACTGTACAACACATTAAAATTTTCTTTAACTTATTACCAAAGTATTCTCGAAATTTAATGCCAATTTCAGGATTGCATGACAAGAACTGGTTTCCTTGATTTGATCCAATTTGGAAAACTACTCCCATGTTGTCTACCCTCAATGATGAAATTTAGCATCCCAGATCTTCAAGCACAATAATCTGGAATAAACATAATTGAAACAAAATGTAGTAAAATAAATTAAATAATAACACAAAAGGTTAGGAAGATTAATGATTGTAGATTTACAACAGATGCTAGAATCCCTGAATAGAAGAGCATCTGCCCCTGTTTTTGAAGAGCGTCTGCATCTGTTGAGAGTGTTGCCAGGAAATTAACAGCAATTGAGGACAATAAAGGAAGCGGTCCGTTCGAACCTAATATTAATTAAAGTAATTAAGTTATTTGCCAAGTTTTTTCTATACCACTTTTTTGTTTTTTGCTATTTCAATGTTATTTGAAAGTGATTCTGAAAGCAGCGATGAAGATGATCTTGGCATAGCACTAATTGAACACATGTTTACATCCACGAAAAGCAGCCTTCCACGATTGAATATGGAAGATCTCAGAAATTGGCAATGTGAAAAAATGTTCAGGTACATCTTTATATTGGAAGAATTAAGAATAAATTGAAATGAGCGATTCGTTATTTTGTTTTGGCATACAATATGTAAAATTTATTTCGTGTGATACTTTTCCATTGGGAGGGATTTGATTTAGCAAGAGTGTACCAGTGTACACCCGTAAGCTGTTCACAAGCTTGCAACAAGATTTTTTCGCACTGCTTGTTCCAAGCTGCTGACGACAGGGGCGTAGGAAGCATATTTAAGTTGGGGGGCCATTAACGTCTAGGGCACTTATAACAAGAAGGTAATACTTCATTTAGGGAGATTATATCCACTTGAGTCATCGTATTGTTAATCGCGGTAGCAAATTTAGTGCGGGAAGTACGACTGTACGAGTTCGCTATTTTTCATTTTAGCCTAAAGTTGAATTATATTGTTGCGTTGGTATAGACGTTTCCACAAAGAACTAGGGACCCAAGGATAGTGCAAAGTTTCCATGCCCAAACATTTTGATTTATGCCAGTAAAATATAATGAACTAGGTTAAACATTAATGAAAAGGAAATTACTCAAAGTACTCAAGTTAGTGAAGTTACGTTAGTCGTAGCATAGGCAGCCCAATGGCGAATGGTTTTATTTGATTTAAAAATATGCACTTTCATGAAATTCACACATATGTCATTTATTTACATGCTAACATATGTACTTAAATCCTGTTACTTACAACAGGCGACTTGCTTGTTTGACAAGGCAATGTAGGTAGCTATTATATAGCATAATATTCCTAAGGTAGGCAACTTCAATCACAATAGTCACATGGACATATGCAAACAATCCGAAAATACTTCAATTTATCTTTGCTATGTGATTGGCTGTCACAACAGCGAGAACAAAAACAGGCAATGAGATTACAAACTCGTCATTTTCAAACGTTCTCAAAAGTCAACAGCGCGGGTCCAGCATCAACAAGTTGTAACAAACTTATTGAATCAAAAGACTAGCCACATATATTACAATATTGCTTGTTCTAAACTAGTTACAACAAATTGGAGCAAGCAGTGCGTGTAATATATATATATATATATAGACACGGACAGTAATAGCTAAATTTAGACTTGATATTGATTAGGGGATTGATTGACATTAATTGATGGAGATCTAGTTATGTAAGGGATATAGAAACAGAGATAGAGAAAGCGTAAGAAACAAGCAATATTACAGTGCGAACAAATCTTTTGTGAACAGACTTGTTCCAACTCTGCCGCAGACTTGTTAAAATACTTGCATACATTCTAAATGGGGATAACCTCGTACTAGATTTCACAACGATGACATGTTGCGCCTTTTTCCTGCGTTAGATTCCTTCATACTACCGAGCAGAACAAAGGACAAAAGCCTCTGGCCTATCCAAACAGATGGTGTGACTTAGTAGGCATTTTTGGAAGGAGTGAATCTCAACTAAGTTCGATTTTTAACAAGGTATTTAATTATACCGACAAAGTGGCAGTTAAATTTCAAACTAAGCTTTAACTAACAATTCATTCTCATTTTATATAGATATTAGATGACATAAACAACCGCTTTGGCCACCTCCTTGACTCATTGGACCTAGTTTGGCTTGATCCAGAGTGCTTTGCCCAAGCCATTCATTGTCAATTAAGGTGCACCACTCACACAGTGTTGGGCATTTATTGATGGTACGACCAATAGCACGACCTGTAGTTAACCAAGACATAATGTACAGTGGACACAAACGAGTCCACTGCATTAAGTTTTAGGTATTAAGTGACAATTACTTATGGCATGATATATCAGACATTTTCATGAGATTTGTTTTCTTTTGCCCCAAATGATCTAATTGTCAACTGGTTTGGACCAATAGAGGGGCGAAGGCATGATGCCTTAGCTTCTTGCTTAGTGTAAGTGGTCTTACAGAAAACATTGCAAAATATTGAAACACCTGATGTCCTTTATGGAGATCCGGCATATGGTATTAATGTCGACTGCATCCTGGCAACATATCGAGGTGCACAATTGACACAGAATCAAAGCGAATTCAACAAGCGAATGAGTAAAGTTCGTGGTAGCGTGGAGTGGGGATTTGGAAATTAAGTTGTGTCAGTATTTTGCCCTTCTGGATTTCAAAAAGAACCAGAAAGTTTTGCCCCAACCTTTATAAAAATACTATTTGGTTGGAAGTGTTCTAATTAATTGCCATACCAGCCTATATGATTCTGTAACAAGTTCATTCTTTAAAGTTCAGCCCCCTTCATTAGAAACATATTTATCAAATCAGTTATAGCTTTAATACAAAATGTTTATTGATGTGACAATATTTATAAATAACATGTTACATAAAATGATCGCAATTATAATTAAATGACTGAAATAATTTTTGCACAATATATGACAAAGTTTTTTATATTAAAGTGATCAAGTGTGTTATATTTTCACACTTTATCTTAAAAACGTTTTTGTAACAATTCAATGAATGCCTTTTTCCCCCCATTTCGAGATGAAACTTTAATTTTCTCTCTTCAGCTTCAGCAAGATATTTCTCTCTTTGAAAGTCAAGTTCCAATCTTCTTAAATTCAACTCTTAATCTTTCAACTGGGCATTCTGTTCATATTTGTTAGTAAGCATCTCAATTGCAGTAAGCTTTGATACCCTTTTACACACTTTTCATTTTCTACCTGTTACAAATTAAAAAATGCATTTTGAGTATTTCTTTGCAAATGTACTGCCCAAAGCTAATTTGCTTTTATTATGGTTACCTTTCCTGGAGATGTATTGTTCACTCTCAAGCATTTCATCTTCACTTGCAGTATCACTACTTTCATTATCATTACATTTTCTTTCTATAATATATGGAATATAAATTAGAATTTCCATACGAGGATCGAGCATATATAACGCCACAACAATACAATGCAATAGATATAGCCATGCAATCTACTATCAACATACTACTCATTCCATTGAGTGCAGCATCTTGCATTTCCTGGCTGTTTTTCTTTTTTAATTATTCATTTTTATTTTTTTCTTCTTTTCTTTAGTCTTAAGATCTTCCTGGTCTCTTCTAAACATGCAAGTATCTTCCAACAAGGAAAAATTAGTCAACTATAGGTCCTCCGCCAGGAATCTAACCTACGCTTTTGCGATGCCGGTGCAATGCTCTTGCCACTGAGCATTGGCAAGAGCATTGCACCGGCATCGCAAAAGCGTAGGTTCGATTCCTGCCGGAGGACCTATAGTTGACTAATTTTTCCTTCAATTGTTCCTGGCTTGAATTTGAAGTGTTTACAATACCACTCGAAATTAAGACCCTTTAAACCTCTAGAATATTCCTGCATCGAGTGAAGTGCCAAAAATCATAATTGATTTATCTTCCAACATTATTGTTAACTCAGTATAGTCTTCTTCTGAGCCAGACCTTAAATGGATGAGTTTTTATTATGAACATTTGAGACATGACACATGACAAAGGTGTTTCAAAAATCTTTATACAATAATAAGTATGTAAATAATATCCAACCAAACCAATTTATATAAAATGTAGAAGAGAGGAGCCTATTTGGGCTCAAATTATAAGGGAAGGAGCTTGGCAAGTGAAATGCTACTTTGTAACTGGGCCTAGGGGGTATAAATCAATACTCAGTACCCCATAGTCATGCAACCAACACATATGCAGCATTGCATGGGAAAACTGCATGCAAAAGCTGAGGGCAAACATGTTAGGAAGGACTACTGGCCTGAACTCCCCTATTTCGATGGAAAGGCACTTAAAAAGGTATACTTTTGCAAACTCTCCGAGCATCACTCTGACACTTCCCTGAGGCAATGAATATATAATCATCAATTTGATACTGTAGGTTATTCATTACATAAACGTTTAGTATTATACCTGTTTAGAGATATAAATATTCAAAGATAAAATTAATTCGGTTTGCGGTTTGCCGTTCCGCGTCGAAAACGCGAAGCTAAATATCTTTAAAAAGTGACTCACAATTCACAATTTTGAAAGTGAACTGTTTTTATGGAACAATACATAATATGTTATTTTTAAAACGTTGTGGGAAAATTTTAAAAATATTTGTAAGACGGTGTTTAAAAATAAAAACTTGCATATACCTATATTAATTCATATACTCTACTGACACTTTCATGTTTATATTATATACAATACTATATTACATTTAGCGTATAATTATAGGTAACTTAAAGGGTTGGATTTATTTTGTATAGTAGTGCACACCTCTTTTGGAAACCAGCATCTTGTTGAAAAGATTTGTGTGTATGTCAATAAATCTTGAATGTGAAAAAGGATTGTATGAAGGCAATTGAATCAATGACTGGCTTCGGCGCTTGCATGTCTTTTTTTTTAAATTTTTGGGGGTCCTTTAAGTAGGTCATTGACCTAAAGTCAATCCCCCCATATTTCAATATGCTTAAAGGAAATTTCCGCATGAATACGGTGACATTGGGTCAATGACATTACTTGGAAAAACCCCAAAAATTTTAAAAAAATACATGCAA